CTTCTGACCTTCCGATCTTAGCCTGATCTCGTGAGATCTCGGAAGCTAAGCAGAACCGCCCCTGGTTAGTCCTTGGATGGGAGACCGCCAAGGAAGCCCAGGGTGGCTACGCAGAGGCAGGCCATGGCAAACCTCCTCTGCTGGTCTCCTTCCTTGACCTGGATGTCCCAGGCTAACCTGATCCCATCAGCTCTCGGAAGCTAAGCAGGGTCGGCCCTGGTTAGTCCTTGGATGGGAGACCACCCAGGAAGAACAGGGTGGCTACGCAGAGGCAGGCCAGGGCAAACCTCCTCTCTTGCTCTCTTTCCTTGACCTGCATGGCCCAGGCTAACCTGATCTCAACAGCTCTCGGAAGCTAAGCAGGGTCGGCCCTGGTTAGTCCTTGGGTGGGAGACCGCCAAGGAAGCCCAGGGTGGCTACGCAGAGGCAGGCCAGGGCAAACCACCTTCTGTATGTCTCCTGCCTCGCAAACCCGACGGGCTCGCCGTAATTCGGCTGTGACTCGGCAGCACCTTCCACCACCAGACAACAGAAGTGGTCTGACTAAGCATAAAGCGGTGATGATGCATTGCCAAAGTATTCCCTGGGAAGGCACCATCCCTCAATGGTAGAGCACCTGGCTAAACACGTAGGCGGTTGTTGCTTCCGTTCCCAGCATGCCTAATTAAAAGGATCTCGAGCTCCAACTCTTGCCTATCAGAGTAAGGACAGAGGGATGGACAGACTGGGGCAGTTCGAATCCCTTTTTTTGGCCTCTTCCCTTGCCAGGTTTGGCCCCCAAACTAGCAGCAGACGAGAAGACATACACGTCTATTGTGTACGGGAATGGGCCGGGCTACCAGATCACCAACCAGAGTCGCCCGAACGTGAGTGCTACTGCGAGCGGTAAGTGACTGACTGATTGATCGGGTCAGGTTTGGCCGCTAGGCTGAATGGTAGGGGAGCCATTCGCCTGTGGCGATCTGCCACATCGGGAGCGCGAAAGGGGTTCTTAATTCTGTCCCTGCAAGCCAGTTTTGTGTAGTGGTTAGGAGCGCGGACTCTAATCTGGGAGAACCGGGTTTGATTCCCCACTCCTTCACATGCAGCCGCTGATGTGACCTTGGGTCAGTCACAAGTTCTCTCAGAGCTGTTCTCTCAAGGGCAGTCCTCGAAAGAGCTTGGGCAAGCCGTAGTTCTGACAAGAGCTGTCCTTGAAAAAGAGCCGTTTCTGTCAGAGCTCTCTCAGAGCTGACCTCACAGGGTGCCTGTTGTGGGGAGGGGAAGGGAAAGGAGTGTGTAAGCCGTTCTGAGACTCCTTCGGGTAGTGAAGGGCGGGATATAAATCCAACCTCTTCTTCTTCCTTGAGGAGAGGTTTATAGAATCACTTTTAACAGGGGAATGAAATGCACAAAGGCTCTTCGAGTTCTTCCTTCTGGGGAGTGGCTGTGGTTCAGTGATAGAGCAGCTGCCTGGCGTGCAGAAGGTCCCAGGTTCAATTCCCAGTGTCTCCAGTTAAAAATATCAGGTTCTGAATGATGTGAAAGACCTCCTCCTGGAGAGCAGCTGCCAGTCAGAGTAGACAAGACTGACCTTGATGGACTCTGTAGAAGGCCAACTACATGCATGCCTTGATTTCTCCGTCTTAGCAATGGTCTGCTGGATCAGACCTGTGGTCCATCAAGTCCAGCATCCTGTCACACACAGAGGCCAACCAGTTCCTCTGGAGGGCCAACAACAGGGCATAGAGGCAGGAGGCATTCATAAGAACCTCAGAAGAGCCCTGCTAGATCAGGCCAGTGGTCCACCTAGTCCAGCATCTTGTCACACACAGGCCAACCAGTTCCTCTGGAGGCCCAACAGCAGGCATAGAGGCCGAGGCCTTCATAAGAACCTCAGAAGAGCTCTGCTGGATCAGACCGGTGGTCCACCTACCTGCCTCACACAGCAGGCAACCAGTTCTTCTGGAGGGCCAACAACAGGGCAGAGAGGCCGAGGCCTTCATAAGAACCTCAGAAGAGCACTGCTGGATCAGACTGCTGGTCCACCTACCTGCCTCACACAGCAGCCAACCAGTTCCTCTGGAGGGCCAACAACAGGGCAGAGAGGCTGAGGCTTTCATAAGAACATCTCCTTCCTTGGGGCTGGAACAGTGGAAAGAGGTGGTCTTGTGAAGGCTCTCCCGAGAGCGAGGTGTGGGGGGCAGGGCAGCGGGGCAAGGAGCGCGTGGTTGACAGCGCTAACTCCGTGCTCTCTCTCTTTCCTGAATTTCCTTTCACCAGAGGGCAACAACTACCACCAACAAGCGGCTGTGCCCCTCAGTTCCGAGACCCACGGCGGCGAGGATGTGGCCATCTTAGCCAAGGGCCCCATGGCCCACCTCTTCCACGGGGTGCAGGAGCAGACGCACGTGGCCCACGTCATGGCCTTCGCCATTTGCCTGGAGCCTTACACGGACTGCGGACTGCCCAGTACCAACTCCTGCAGCGACATCAAGCCCTCGTTTATTGCTTTTCTCCTGGCGGCCGTGATCTTCTGGGGCCTCTAACACGACCTTCGGCACCTTGTCCTTATGTTTCTGGGATCCGGAAGGTGTTTGGTTCTCCCCAGGGCTATTTTAGGGCAGGAACGCACAGGAACGGAGTTCCGGCTGGCTCCCGAGTTGGCCACGCCCAGCAGGAACTGATTAGCATAATAGGCCACACCCAACAGCAGAAACGCATTAGGATTGGCTACATTAGAGGTGTGTGGCCTAACATGCAAAGGAGTTCCTGCTACAAAAAAAGCCCTGGTTTGGACAACAAACAAGGTAAATAGAATAAGAAGGGAAAGGTGGGTGTGGCTGGGTGACCCCAGGTCCCGTGACATGGAAGTGTGGCCTAATGTGCTAATGAGCAGTGCTGTCAGGGTGTGGCCTAATATGCTAATGAGTTTGCTGTTGGGTGTGGCCTATTATGCTAATGAGTTCCTGCTGGGCTTTTTCTACAAAAAGAGCCCTGGTCCCACCTATCACCCAGCCACCCCACGGGGTTCTGTCCTTCATCCCCAACTGAGCGCCCTCCATCTTCTTCCGGGCTGCATCTGTGAACAACGCGTGAACTCGTGAAGCTGCCTTCCACTGATTCAGACCACCGGTCGACTCAAATGGCCGCGGCTCTCCAGGGTCCCAGGCAGAGGCCTTTCACACAACCTACTATCTGACCCTTTTAAAAATGGAGGTGCCGGGGATTGAACCTGGGGACCATCAGCACCCAAAGTGGACGCCCTAACCACGGAGCCGCAGCCCCTCCCACAATGTCTGCCATCTTGCTGAGACTGGCAGTTCCATCCACAGCCAGGAGAGGGCGACATGCTCACCGTCAGAACTGAGGCAGCCGCTCCACTGGTGTGCGGGGCTGCGCTCCGATGCGGGGCGATGTTCAAAGCGTGCGCCGCAACTTGACGGTGAATGACTAAATGGGATTGTGACGACCCCTTAACTGGGGAGGCCTGGTTTTACTTTAAAAGTGTTCTTTATGTTTTGTTCAACTGGGTATACGGCTGCCACCAGGAAATTTAAGGCTTTCCAAACCTTTATATTATAATATTTTTATCACTGGGTAGGTAGGTCGAGGTTTTAGGCTTTCATGAGGGTCTATGTGTTTCCTGAGAATTTCTTTCTTTCAGAGCTGGCAGACTTAAATAAAGAAGATTTATTGATGTAATTTTGTAAATAACAGGATAGTACTTTGTAT